CTTTACTGAGTTAAGCTTTAACCCTTTCCTATACCAACTGTATGTGTGTGTGTGTGTGTGTGTGTGTGTATGTTAGACCAGTTTAAGTGTTTATGTAGTACGTTGGACTAGTTTAAGTGTTTATGTAGTATGTTAGACTAGTTTAAGTGTTTATGTAGTTAATAAAGTCTTATTTGTATCACACTTGACGTTGTTCATTGTTTGCTCATCACTGGAGCCACTTAATCATGCAGATTTATGCTACAAGCTCTTTGTAGAATTGTACAGTAAGAAAGTTATTTCCCTTAACCAGGAAATTAACGTTCTTAGAATTGACAAGACAGTTGACCCTGAGAGGTCAAGTAAATATCTACAGCGGATCTAAATATTTATAATTAATTATAACTTGTTATGATTAATTATTCATATTTCCCTTATGAGCTGATTCGCTACACATATAAATGTAGATTCATATATACAGTATAGTCAAAAGCACCATGTACAAAAATAAAACGCAGGTCTAAATTCACGTTTTAACATAATAAGTCTAAGAAACTCTGTTCATCTTTTTTTGTTCACTTTCTGCCCTTGTCCAGCGACAGCAGCTTCCTGTGTTTGTTATTAGAGGAGCAAGAAGGGGGCAGCAGCCCATAAACCCCCTACTGGACAGTGAACCCAAAGCACGGGGCATTCCATTAGAGTGAAAAGAGAATGGAAAGAGAGAGAAAAGAGAACGCAAATTGTTCATGGTACAAGAATATGCACAGACATATTCCTTACATCACTGCATTGCATCCATCCACGGTGTAGCTTTACTGACCAGCTTCATATACATTTCAGACAAAAATGATGAACAGGACAGCTGACAGTAAGATGAGAAAAAGTGAGAAAAGCGGACAGTCCATCATACTAAAAGATCTGTACGTGATGGAGTGGATGGGGCACTGTCACTGTTAAACTAAAAGTATCCATACTGACATTGTACCTCATTTTAAAAATATAATTAGTGCCCTTTAGCATCAGGAAAATGTTTTTCCTTGATTGTCTTCAGAAAATCTACCAGTTTCTGTTCTCATTCCTCCAGCTGTAGTCAGTGAGTGGGTGCTGGCAGTAGAATTAACTTAATGCTGAAATGAATAACAGCGCAGGTTGCCAATGGTAAATAGGAAACAGACCTGAAACACAGCATCATCATGAGCAAAACCGTGCTTTCTATAGCTCAGCATTACATGAATTAAATGAGCATATCCATAAATCATGATGAAGAAAAGTAGTACTCTTCATATTAGATTATGTAGCTCTCTACTGTCTATAACGTTAGGGTGCATTTTAATGTAATCACTGATGTCCCCTTGCAGACTATAACGTCCTGCCTGCAGCTTTCTCTGTGCATCTGAGTGAATCTCTTTAATGCGACAGACTGTCTCCTCAGAAAGTGCTATTCTTATGAAGCCACAGCTATGTGCATCTCTACAACCTCAAACGTGGAAGTAAAATACAAGCTACATTGAGTTAACTGCTGTTAAACAGGTCCTCATTGTTGTTAGAGAGCTGATCAAACTGAAAAAGACAAAGTATCAATGATGAATATCTAAATAGCTGAGAGAATGGAATAATGTAACAAAAAGTTTGACCTTTTGAAATATTTATAAGATTTTTTTAAATTGCATTGCATTTTCCCCTCCATCAGCTTGTTGAAAGAGGCAGTCTTTTGCTCTCAACTTCAAAGAAATTACGTTTCTTATTAAATAGGGTTTGACAAGCAAAACTGATATTAACACCTAATGATTCATTAGATCTTGGATGAATTTCATTCACCTTTGGGTATTACATTCCTCAGAGTTAAACTTGTCTAACTGATAATTATCTGTTCCCACAAAACATCCTCATTTACTTGATATATGACTGTAGATTGTGAAGAAAAGTTCCAGTGATTATTAATAAAATTATAAAATTAAAACCGTTTAGCCTACTTTTTTTTTGTTACATGTACAGTGTGCAAATGGTTAAAATAACACGTAATTATTAGCCTATATTTGCTAACTAATTAACATTTTTCATAATTTTCTTTTTGTAAAGTTTCCCATTTGGAAGGTAAATAGAAATAGAAAATAGAAGTAGCCTATCTGAAAAGCACAAATATAGCAACATTCATTTATTGTGATTACAGTAACTAGCAAATGGTATTTTGGCGGAAAATTTACGGTTACGATGGTGACTTTTTTGTCAGGGCATCAGAGCAGGAATTTGAAATCCACTTTTGGAGAAACCGCTTCATTTGCTTGATTGCAGTTGAAGGCGTGTTGAAAATCATTAAATCATGGAACTTCAACTCTGTCAGAAATCGTTTCTTTAATGTGTTGTGCAATAAGTAGCACACACTGAGTGCGCATCACTGTATGAGAGCGGCCGGTTGGCTGAAGTTGTGGCACTGTTCAACCCACCCAAACCCGCGCTCCTGTATGCGCTCATTTCCTCGGCGTGGAAACCAGTCCAGCTCTCCGCCTCACTGACAGATAACAGGCTTGATGACCCGCGGGAGTTAGTTAAAACAGTTAAAACTAGAAGACCAAGTCACGCCGAAGAGAATATATGCTTTAAAGCCCAAATAACAAACACCGAAGTCAAATACGGTCGCAGGAGTTTGGAAATATTACAGCCCAAATTAAGGTAAGTTTTTTTTTTCTCGTTATTTTGCGTTTATTGGTTATTTTGCTTGTTTTTTTCTTTATTTTATTATTATTATCATTTGCTGTCATTTTCATTTGGCTAGCTGCTTACCGTTTGTGATAGCTAATTAGCTATCCGATATAAAGTTTCGGAACTACTTAAGCTTTAGTGAGCATTACATACTCATGAAACCAAAGCCTTGTGAAACCTCCTTAGTTTAGATTTCTGCATACGCAAACTTGTTGCTCTCTGTTCATTCAGATGCACAGATGGGATGAACGAGTTGTGCAGATACTGGTGCGCTAAATGATGTCCTGGTGTTTGGGTGGTTAAAGAGTTAAGTTTAATTCCACAAAAGAGTTTGTTTTAGTAAAGAATAATGTAAAGAAGCAAGTAGCCTAAAGATATACTTAGAATTAGAAAGTGTTGCTTTATATTTATCTTCACCTGTCTGCTTTGTTTTTTTTAGTGGCAATTCCAATTAGGCTACTTGCTTAGGGTTGGGTATCGTTTGAATTTGATCAATTCCGATTCCGATTCTGCTTATCGATTCCGATTCTTATCGATTCCCAGTTTCGATTCCAATGTGGTTAAAAAATGTTTTAGACATTTAGATATCAAACATATTTATTCTGTGTCTCTTTTTGCAAAACATTTAATTGCTGCTGATTACCATAAACAAAAATCAGCCGGCTACATAAAAACTGGACTCGATTAAGAGCTGTTTGTGTGCAAAATAGAGCTGCATAATTCTGGATATATTGAGATTTTTTTGTAATGGAGGTTGTAGTTCTTTCACAATTCTGAAGAAAAAATATTAGAATGGAATTAAATTTATGAATGGAATTCTTGATTCAATTACTCACTCTAGATTTACTTGTTTCATTACTGGATGAATCAGTGTTTTTGAATGAATCTCTTGATTGAACGATTCAAAGACAAAAACATTTTTAACAGCCCTTTTCACCACCTAAAAAAAAAAAAAAGATGCACACACAGGAATTGATAGGTGGAATTGAAATGTAAATTTTACAACAAGTATCTGATTTCTGACTTTAAAGGAACACTCCACTATTTTTGAAAATAGGCTCATTTTCCGAGAAGGGTATAACTGCAGCCTGGAGATCTCCAAATGGGTGCGGGAACTCCAAAACGGGGTGGGAGCTCCAAAATAGGGCGTAGCTTCCTCCCATTGGCAGACAGGCACATGACACGCATGCGCACTTTTTCCTCCTATCCACTTCAGTGCAAACTCTGCCCCACAGCTGATTCTAAAGATTTTATTGGTTGTGTCAATTAAAGTGTTGATTTCCTACACTATGCTACAAAAAATGCTAACCCCTAAACCTACCCCACACCTGACCCTAACCTTAACCAGTGAAATTGACTGCACTGCGGGATTGGCGCTGAATAACGTGGTAAAGAAAGATGCAGTTCAGGAGATAAACAGTTAATAAGATTATGCGATATGAGATCGTTCCGTAACTCCCCAACCGGACCTC